AGAGGTGGGTGGGACGGTCTCCCCCCCCCCCCCTCCCCCTCCCCGCTTTGGTAACTTCTTCCCATTGCAGAAAGGGCGGCTTGATTCCCTGGGAAAAGATTACCTGAGCCCCGTCCAGCAGGGGAGTCCGCGCCACTCTCTGTTTGCTCGGAGTCAACATCCGAGAGTTACCGTGGGGGTGCCTGGGCGGGTGTCTCCCAAGGAACCTCTTGGCATGCAAGCAACTGTCAGGCCGGTGCAAAAGGCATTGGTAACTTCTTCCCATTGCAGAAAGGGCGGCTTGATTCCCTGGGAAAAGATTACCTGAGCCCCGTCCAGCAGGGGAGTCCGCGCCACTCTCTGTTTGCTCGGAGTCAACATCCGAGAGTTACCGTGGGGGTGCCTGGGCGGGTGTCTCCCAAGGAACCTCTTGGCATGCAAGCAACTGTCAGGCCGGTGCAAAAGGCACACACCACGCTCACACGCACCCAGGGAGATCGCGGCAGCCAGCCCCACCAGCCTGTGCCCTGGGCTGCTTCTCCTAATCCTCGAGCGCCTTGCCTGGACGAAGCCCCTATTTTTAGAAGCTGGCTCACACAATGTATATATATATATAAAAAAGGGGAAGTAGTTTGGGGCGCTTTTATGGTTCTCGCCCCGCTCCAAAGCGGAGGAGAAATCAGAGCGAAAAGCAGAGGCGACGGGGGATCGGAGCTGAACGACAGTCACACGCTCTAGCCAACGTGGTGGCTTCCAAACAACAATCCTCAGTCACCGTCCCTGCTAATCGCTTAGTTCCTGCTTTCCTCGTTTCCCGGCGGGGGAGGGGGAGAGAAGAAACCCCTCCGCGTTTTCCACCGGTACTCGGAGAAGTCCTCCACAAAGTTACATCATCAACCAACAGCCCTTCGGAAATGAAGAGCACACACCAGCGGATTAAAAACTGGGCTGAGGCGACAGCACAGCCGAAACCCACTAGCTAGGTCCAGCTCTCTCTCTTCTAGCCTTACTTTCATTTACTTAAAACAGCTGCGGGGGAGGGAGGGTGCGCGCACAGCAATCAATCAATCACACAGGAAGAGCTGGGGAGAGCCACTCAACTATTACCTCTTCCTAAAACTACACAGGAAGGGGGGAGGGACAGGAGTTATGGGTCGGAAGGGGGAGAGAGATAAAAGCTTTGATCCACGACACGCCCCTGGGTTTGAATGCTCTCTCTTTATTTTTGTCATTTTTCTTCAGAAGCTCATCAATTGACTGCAGCCATGTCTCCAGGCATTCCCAGCATTTCCCAGAGTGCAACATCACCAACAGGAGATCAATGACCACATACTGTTTACTCTTAATACCAGCAAGACTACAGCAGAAATTGGATGATGGTTTCCGGGTGCTTTCCTTTTCACTTGAGGGGTAGGGGAGAAAGAAGCTTGAGGAGATAGGGTTTGTGTGTTTACATGACTCCTTTTGTCTTCAGTCATTTTCACTGTATTCAAAACAGTAAATTGTAGGCAAATAGACTTCCTGATCCCATGCAGCGCACAAATACACACCCACTCACAAGCATTCACGTGGAAAAAAGTCATATCTTTATTTCTGTAGCCTAGAGAAATGACATGTGTGGGGGGGAGGGAATCTGATTTCTTTATTAAGTTTGCACTTTTTTGATAGGGGAACAGTATAGGATCTTTTGCAAGAATCTTATTTTTAATTAACTACTTAGTATACATGCTTTTATAAACTGGATAAACAGGTTCAGCATGATTTTAGATTGATCTGCAAGCAGAGTGGAAAATGAAGAACTATTGTGAGCCAAATTGTTAAAGGAAAGTGGTTATTGTTCATCTCCACAGAGAGAAGACTTATCTTCTACAAATATTTGATACTGGGCCCAGTCCAATAATTAACAGACCAATCAAACAATTTCACTATTTCCAGGGACTTTAAAAGCATCATCTGGAGTTCAGAAGCATTACAATCATTTTTATGTGCTTTGATGCATTATTGTATGTGATCTTTTCAATCTGTATCCTCCCAAATGATTTTACACTGATGCAGTAACAGTCCTTTTGCATGGATAATATCCACAACTGCAAATTCACTAAAGCCTCAACTCTCTGCAGAAGAAGAAGAAGAAAAAAATATGATACTATTTAACTCAGATTCCAGAGACCTTCCTTGTCCTCTCTCCCCCCCCGTACTGATAAGGCAATAATTTCTAGTAAGGGAAGACCTAACACACCATTACTACCCTGCACCTTGTGTAATCATACCACTGCAAAATGGGCGTAAAATACTTCCTTCCGTAACAGGATGGCAGCATTTTACAACCACTTTGCAATGATGCTAATTAACCACACATGGTGCAGAACAATGGTGAACTGGATCTAGCCACAAAATCCATTAGTTGTAATCAATTGTCATTAAGTAGCCCTGGGCAAATTTTTCATCCAAACTCCTCCCCCCCCCTTTTTTTTTGTATAAAAAAATGAAAATTCAGCAACAAATATTTTGTGAATGTGCCAGTTCCTCCAGATAACTGTCTGTGGGGGGAGGGACCCAAAAGAATACCTCTACTCAAAACACTGTTTACAGCATTTTTAACACCAGTTTAATTTTTCAGTTCAAAATTACTCATTTCAAAATTTTTCAATTTTATTTAATATTTTTGTTAAATGTGCAATGCACATTGAGCATTTTATATCAGGTTGTATTAAACATTTAATTCAACCCAAAATAAGTTATTCCACCTTTTAGATTTGGCAAAATTTTGAAAAAGTCAAGTAGGCCTGAACATTTTTTCCCCCAGTATTTCTGGAATTGCCAGTTAACTTCAAAACAAAATCAGTTATATGCACAGCTTCTGGCATGGGTAATGAGCACTTGGTCATGCTTCTTCCTGTTAGTTGAAATGTGTCTAGAGAGTGATGCCCAGCCCTCTCAGATCTCTGCTCTGCTCTTGTTAGCCCCTTGCACATTTCCATCAAGCACCACCTTTCCTTTTCTGGTAATGACTGACTGGGCAGACCCTTTAAGCCTCCAGTGAAACGCAAGAAAGCAAGTAGGCTGGTGAAGACCAAGATTATAGGGAGCATGAGGGAGGAGAAAGGAAGTAGCCTAATGCATTTTATTTAGGATCCAAAGCACAGTGGGTGTGAAGATTTTATTTTATTCCCCGGGATCTGTATTTTTCTACTTCTATAATAGTCTGAAGATGTTCAATGACAAAGTTGTAAGGAGTCCCACTGGCCTGATGCTAGATCCTTTCTTAAATAATGAGGTCTTTTGTCTTGCAAGCCTCTGTCCCTGTATTTCCCAGCAGTTTTAAAAACTAGTAATCGTCTTTATAAGCACCAATGATCTGCCTTTTATGTGGGGTGTTTTCTTTTACTTTTTAAGAAAATGTTACCATTCACCCACTGGGTCCTTTCAAAATGTTTGGCAAAGAAAATGTTTTTTATTAGAACATAAAGCTAGGCCCTCCTTTCCCTTCCCTCCCAAATGTTCATAGCTATCTGATGTTAGAATGTATAGTAGTTTCCTAGCTAGTACATCTGGGAGAGGGTTTTCCATAACTCTCTTCCCTAGCTCACCCCCCCAAAAGCGCCAAAGATCACTTTCATTTTGCCATTACTGAAGGTTAGAAAAACAGTAAAGAAAGGCCAAGCGTACCAAATTTTGTTCTTAATATTATTACATTTGAAAATCTTGATTAGATTTCAGTTTTGCAAACCCAAAGGATGGGTGCTTTGAAGCTGAGTTCTGTTTATTTTTTTTTATTTTTTTTAATCATTTAAATTTAGGGTCTTTGGATAAATGTCAACCTATTGCTAACCAGCCCTATTTCATTCAGATATTCAACTCTCCTGTTTCTAAGTTTTGGGTATGAGATCCATTTTTAGCCCTGGTTCTGCAAGGAGAACCCACATGGGCAAACCTTCGTGCCTGCATAGATTTCAACAGCCTGCAGGCTGCTTTTTTGCAGAATTTGGGCCATGGAGACAAAACGCGCACTTTACCGAAGTGCTGCCCTGCATGCAAATTAGCTACCAATATGCTTTCCCTTTCCATCCCTAATACTAATTCTCTAATACTTTGTACTGCTATCTCTCTCTGACCACAGTGGGTGTGAAATGCTGTCAGACTTATATAATTGTGTTTTATACTCACTTCGACTGCCATGGAGAATCAGGCCCAGGTACTCTAAATTGGCATCTCATTGAAAGTGCCTGTGAAGCTTACACCACTCTTATTACCTTAAAAGTCATATAAGATGCAAGACACTGAGAATTTACAAACCTCCTTACTGGTATCAGAGTTTACCAGCACTCAGGCTCCTGTGTAAGAGTCCACTAGTTAACTGAACAGCCCTGCCTGTTCTCCTGTTGTCATCCTTGTCTGTATGTATTGAGCCTTCACCTGCTTTTCCACCTTAAAATTGCCTCGTTATATTTGCAGTGATTCCTGTAAAAAAAAAAAAAAAAAAAAAAAAACTTGAACTTACAATAAGTCTGTGTAGATCCAGTCCTATCCCATCCCCCTCCACAAAGCCAATTCAGACTCCTAGCTACAATATGTCTAGCAGACTTCTGAGTAATTCTCCAAATAAAGCCATACTGAACAACCCGATTCATTAAATGATGCTATTGTTTGTCCCTTGTATAGGACCCTCTGTTTATCCATGCAGCTTCTTTTCAGATGCTCGCCCTCAGACTAAACATCCATGAGATAATATGAATTTCAGCAGAAAACCTAAAAAGGAGACTTACATTTAGTTTAGTTAGCAATTTAGGATTTGTTAAATACAGAAAAGTATGTGTTTAAGGTGGGGAGATGGAAACAAAAACCCAATGAGGAGAAATAGAAATGTTAATTTAAAAATAATCAATGAAAAGATGTTTTACAGAATTTGGGTAGCCAAGAGATCAGCATTTCAACTTTTCCCCATAGGTACAAGAATTCAAATAAATTAGTTAGCTAAAAGCAAAGCAGTCTTCTCTTCAGGTATGTCTAGACTACACGCTTCTTTCGAAAGAAGCTTTTTTGAAATAATCTTTCGAGAAAGCTTCTTTTGAAAGATTGTCTAGACAGCCACAACTTTTTTTGAAAAAGCAATCTGCTTTTTCAAAAGAGTACCCAGGCAATCTGGATGCTCTCTTTTGAAAAAGCCCTATTTTCGTTCAAGAATGTCTTTTTTCGAAAGAGCTCTTTCAAAAAAAGGCGTTCTTCCTCGTAAAATGAGATTTACCACTGTCAAAAAAGCTGCCACGTTCTTTCGATTTAATTTCGAAAGAACATGGTGGTAGTCTAGATGCAAGTGAAGTTTTTTTTTTTAAAAAAGGCCACTTAAAAAAACAACAATCCTGTAGTCTAGACACAGCCTTCCTTGTCAATGCTAAGTGAAAAGGAAAGTAAATATTTTAACTGGTGATAAGTTCAATTTTAAAATCCTTCTGTTTTAATAGTTCAGTGAGGCACAACATCCTGCAACCAGCGGAGGCCCCAATCCACTCACACACCTGCTTAACTTTATTACCATGAGTAACCACACTGATGTCAATAAGACTACTCATGTGCATAAAATTAAGCAAATACGTACGTGATCAAGATACACAGCTGAAAGAAAAATGACTTGTGGACAGCTTTCAGTAAACCACTTTCTCCCCCTAGCATTTAATTCACTGCATTGTGTGCACTGGGGGGGAAGGGTAACTCCGTGGTTTGAGCAGTGCCCTACTAAACCCAGGGTTGTGAGCTCAGTCTTTGAGGGGGGCCATTTAGGGATCTGGGGCAACTGTGTCAGGGATAGTGCTTGGTCCTGCTGTGAAGGCAGAGGGCCGGACTCAATCCCTTCCAGCTCTATGAGATAGGTATTTCTCCATATATAGATTTATTTAGATAGGGTGGCTACAGAGCTTACACTTCATAACGTGGTCAACCCTGTACATACTACCCCTTGGACTCAAGTCCTGAATTCTCATGTCCTTTCACTACTGCAAAATTAGATTGTAGTAGGGTTTTAAAACTCTTTAAGTCTTTTCCCAAACTGAATACTGGCTGAGAGTTGCAATAAACTAAAATGCCTAATATTACATTTTCAGCTTCGACACCTTTTAACCCCACTGTGCCTCCAGGACACTGTGAGCAATGGACAAAAAGAAAAAACTGCCAGTTTTGGCCCAGTAGGAAACTTTCCTTCCTGATCCCAAAATAGGCAGGCAGGCAGACTCGCAGTACCCTAAAACATAGTTCCTATCCTGAATTACAAGAAGGGAGTTTGGGGAGTCTATTTGAAAACATGGGATGGTGGGCGGGCGAAGCTTGGAAAGAAATTTAAGAGCATAGGGCAAATCAGTACCCAGCTTCTGCTGTCTGTCCAATTATGGTTGAAGAGTCTGTGCTGGATGAAAGGCAGCCCTGCTCTGCAGTCTCAGGCATGAACTCTCCCTCTCTTCTCTCACTGTCTGTTCCAGTAACAGTCTGATCAATATCCCCACCTGGTGGTGATGATACAGTGGAGGCATTTGCAGGATCAGGTTCTATTGTTTGGTGTTTAGTTAATTCATTGACCTCAACTAAGGACTACAACCTAAAGTTTCAGAAGTGACTGGTGATTTTGGCTGTCTGGTGTGGGTGCCCAATTTGAGGGGAGTTGGTTTTCAGAGAGCCAAGGCTCAGCACTTTTGAAAAGCAAGCTCCTTTAAATGGACTGGGCATTGAAACAAATGGAGACCTCCAAAAGCAATAGGGACTTCTGAAAATGTAAGCCTCCTCCTTCCTGTAAGCAGTGGCAGGATTGGGTGCTTAATGTGTTATCAGTAACAGGTGAATTTTTTTTTTTACTAGTCATCTCCACAGTGTCCATCTGAAGCAAAAAGAAGGGGGGGAAAAAAAGAAGGATCTTGTAAATGACTGAAAATGTGACTCCACTGCTCTTCATTGCTGGAACAGTTTCTCATTCTGGATATAAATCCATTTTTGTAACAAGGGACAACAGTTACACTAGAAAGGTGCATTAATGTGAAATCAGAACTACACAGATCTAAAGCATTTACATGGCTGACTTTTAAAGAGTTATTCGTAACATGCTTCACATACCAGCATCCAAGCATTGTGCAATATACTGAACAACAACAAGAGAGAAAGAGAGCCAAACAAATCAAATGCAAAATCAAAGATATTTTGTATTTTAGCTAAATTTGCTTTAACTCATTTGAGTTTGAAAATAAGAATGCATACAATTTTGAGTAAAGCACTTCCTTTTATGAAAAGCCATTTTTTCTCAGTCTTATCTTTCATAGAGCTGTACAAGTTCTAATGTCAGTTCCAAATTGCTATCATAAACACAAAGAGCAGAGTATGTTTACATACAAATAAAAAAACCACCATCTCATTGCAGCAGGGCAATCACTGATAAAGTCACTGATATAAAATTGGCTGAGGAGTTCTTTTCCAAAATAATTGTTGGGTTTGGGGGAGGGGGAAAAACACATTACATTGAGCCTACCAATAGCCTCTAGATTTCTAGGGAAAAGGCATCTGGATCTTTGCATGTCTACAGCTCTGCTTTGTGTGTTAGATTGTGGTGTGTACTTTTTTCAATATTTGCATAGTGTAGGGTGCTCTACAGTAATTGACATCATAAAACTATTTATCAGTATAATCAGGCCCACCCACCTATACTTTTTAAAATGTGTTACATCACTCCCAGAAAATGTTCCATTCAAATAAGCTTATTAATTACCGAAACACTGATCTTCCACTGCCTAACACTGTTCAGTCTTTTACAATTGAAGAGGGGATGACATGGGTAAAAGGCTGTATTTTCAATTGCTAGCATTTCACACTGTGTTTGTACACTATGTAAACAAACAAAGGAAGTTTTTCTTCACTCAGCACACAGTCAATCTGTGGAACTCCTTGCCAGAGGATGTGGTCAAGGCTAGAACTTTAACAGGGTTCAAAAAAGAGCTACATAAATGCATGGAGGTTAGGTCCATCAATGACTATTAGCCAGGATGGGTAGGAATGGTGTCCCTAGCCTCTGTTTCTCTAGAAGGGGAGACAGACGAGGGACCACATAAGGATTTTCTGTTCGGATCCCTCCATCTGGGGCATCTGGTATTGGCCACTGTCAGCAGACAGATTACTGGGCTAGATGGACCTTTGGTCTGACCCAGTATGGACAATTACACCAGGGGTGAGAGAGTGCAGAATCAGACTCCAAGGCTATGTCTACACAACAAGGTTTTGCACAAAAACTGGTGGAGCATCCATACCTCAAGTGTGTTTTTGTGCACAAAAAACAAAACAAATACAGTAAATCAACAGGACAGAGGGCTTTTGCTGGTAGAGTTATTCCTCTCCCCAGGAGGAAAAAACTCTTTTGCTCCACACATGCCTTTTTGCACAAGAGCTGTCAACACTCCACAGGGGTTTCTTGCACAGGTGCTCTGATGGTCATTCCGTTAATGGTGATCAGAGCTTTATTGAGTAAGAGCGTCCATGCAGTGTGGACTCTCTCTTGCGCAAAAGCACATCGATTTTGCGATGTGCTTTTTAGGTGTGGACGGGCTTTTGCGTAAGAAGTTTTTGCAGAAGATCTCTTCCGCAAAAAGCTTCTTGCGCAAAAACCCTGTAATGTAGACAAAGCCCAATGTTTTACCATGCTGGATCTTCCTGTCAGTGCTTTGAGTATGTCAACTCACAGTTGAATGCTCCAAAATGAACCTAGCTACACGTGCAATACTGTGGAGATTCCTTCCTGAATCACGTGGTAGTCAGGCTGCATCCTGAAGATGAGTTTTGATTCCTTTTATCTTAGCTTGCCTTGTCAAGTGTCATCAATAGTCATACGTTTATCCAGCCCTCCTTAAAATTTCAGTGACACTGTTTGACTGGTTGTGAAACAGGAAGTAACACACCATAAGAAATACTTATAACAATAGTGAAAAAAAATACTTTCTTAAAAGCTAGATCATATCACAAAACCATATTCAAATGATAATATTTCATAAGGACATAGGATAGCAGGTAATTGGTGACAAGATAGTTGATACTTAAATGCTACTGCACACTAGAAAATCCAATGAGTTTTCCAGTTTGACATATCGAACAATAGCCAATGCAGAAAATCAAACTGTAACAAGTTAAGTCAATGAATCTAAATCTTTCTTGTCTAAAATGCGTAAGCAGACAGCTTTAAAAACAAAAAAGTATTTTTAGGGCACATTTGTGAAAAATACATGCCGAGGTTGTCAAATAAGTGACCTGATTTTTCAAAAGTGCTGAGTACCCAGCAGATGTCCCTTGAACTCAGAAACACTTATCTGAGCAGGAAAATATGGTCTTAGGAGCTAAACTTCAGCTACTAAAGTTTAAAAAAAAAAATTATATGTGACAGTCCTGCTGCTGCGGGCGATTCCTCATCCCCTCCTGTAGTTGGGGTCCGCTCCTCCCCCATA